TGTAACTTGTTTACTTGATTTACCAGATAAAGTTTTTCTTTTTATATTTCGTTACCTTCTATCAGCTTATGTTCGTTATTCATTTTATACACCTTCGAGACCTGAATTACGTTTTCATAGTCTTATTTCTAATTATTATACAAGAATAAACCTTGATCCAATAAATAATAATGAATATATTTATTTAGCAAGTTTATTTTGTAATTTATCAAATCCTCTTCAATCTGAATCATTAATATTAAGTAATGCGCATGTTACTTGTTTAACAAAACATTATTTTACTAATATACCTATGAATTTAATTCAATCAGTATTTACTAATTTAAAATCTCTAACTTTAATCAATTGTTCTGAAGAAGATTTTCTATTTATTTATACATATAATACAAATATGAAACAACTTGAATATCTTCATGTAACTGTTCGTAAACATGCTGAAAATCAAAGTATAGATTTGACAGATATTTGGCTTAGGGTGTGAGTGTGGATGTGGAGAAAGAGAACACCCACACCCTCACCTAGCGAAAGTAATGGTAACGAGAAACTTTAAAGTCTCTTAATCAAACAAATAAGTTACAAAAACTGTTCAAAGTCGAAGACCTACGAACTTATCAAACGTTCGGCTACATAGATATTATTGCTAACTAGTTTCTAGATTGAATATCTAACAAGATCATCGATATTCGTGATTATGAAGTTAAGCATTAGTACTATTTGTACTTTTTGCTTTCATTAGATGATGTTCAATGAATGACACAATATTTTGTCATTCTGTCCAATTGATTGTCATTTGTAAAATACATTTATGAAAGAAAAAAAACGCTTATTTATATAACAATACCTTCCTATTGGTCTTTTATAAAGCGTAACTAAAAACAAAAGAAGTTAAGTATAAAAGTAAAACAATAGAAAACACTAAGACAAGTATAATTACAATTAATCTTAATGCAATAAATTTATTTTAATTTTCTGATGAATTAGTATCGGGAACTATCAGTTTAAATATACTTAAAGAAAATGAGAAGTAGACAAAATTTATAAGATATTGATTGGTGAAAATGATTGTACAATGATGCGAATAGTTTCAATTAGTAATGATAAAATATTAACACAAACTCATTATAATCATGTATATTTTATTCAACTAACATCATATTAACCTGATCCGAATCATGACCAAAAAGCATCACAACTGATTTGCAGTAGTTTTTAAGGCCACCCCCCCCCCCCTCAAAAAATGTCCGTTTTCATCAAAAATTTCGAAATTGAGATAATTGCATGGGAAGATAGCCCGTCTTCAGATCTTTCAGATACAATATGATTTTTAAGCTGACACCCCCGTTTCGGACAAGATTTTTGATGATTTCCATTAACGTCTTCTTGAAAAGTATGCTTATTTCGAAAAAAACGAAAAATGTTTTTCGTTTTTTCTCAGTTTAGGCTTTCGGAACCGCGCAATCCATTTTTCTCTGTCCAGGCTCATTCAATATATTTTAATTTTTTTTTGCTTGAAAGAGCACGTCAAGATGCAGTGCAGTACAGAGTCCTTTTTTTAATTAAGCTTTATTTTCTATTATATCTACAGACATTTATGTAATTTGACACCCATTTTTGGCGCGTTTTTTGAGTCATTGAACTTGTGATTCCCTTTTTTCGCTAAAAAAGTAAGAATTTAAAAAAAAGGACTCTGTACTGCACTGCATCCTGAGATGCTCTTTCAAACAAAAACAAATTAAATATATTGAAAGAGCCTGGACAAAGAAAAATGGTTTGCCAAATGAGCTATTTTTGACCCTTGTTTGGTTCATATCTCTGTCAAACATCAGGGTATCGAGCTGAAAATTTTATCACAGCCTCCTCACTTCAGCCCCAACATATGCTCCAAGTTTCAGCCCATTTGAACTCTCCTGGGCTGAGATCGATTTTTGAGGGGGGGGGAGGCCTTAAACGCGTTTCAACGTGAACAGTATCATTTTTGCATCGGAATGTGTTCATATCTAGAAATAATATTAACTTAGACGCGTTTGAATGCAGTTGCTTTTACTTTTGCATCCGAAGCGCTTCCCCTATATGCAACTAATGCTTTTGAGTTCCAATCGTGCATGTAAATGTAGTTTCTTTTTCTGTTTTACAGAGACAAGATGCATCTAAACGCGTTTCTGGCTACAACTGCACATAGTGCTATCAATAATGCAGATTACTTCGTCACAGCACGCGTGACTAAATCTCGAACAGTAAACTGAACTACGTATTTTTTATTAAAAAAAGCATAAAAATGATATAGTTAATTATACAGATGACGTATTTAAATCTTACTGCGTTTCGAATTCTTAAAGAGGACTCTTCTTGATAATCTACAGTTTCAAACATCAGTGGCTAATATTGCATGAAACAGAATATAAACACAAATAGTTGGATACGAGAAATCTCATCATATTTGTGTTCAGCATATAAAGTCATGAAGACTTAGTTAATCTGTGAAATAGAAACAAATGAGTACACGTATCAAATTTTGAAATATATAGAACATTCATTCGAAAATGGTATTACAATAATATTATTTTGCTACATGTCACTACCAGCACTTTTTTTTCACGAAATCAATTTCGCTCTTGTATAATACATATGTTAAGCGTAGTTAATTTAAATTTCATTATAAATAAAATTTAAGTGTTAAGCAAAAATGTCCGTTTTAATTCAAACATGAAGTTCAAAGTTAGTTTCCATGTGAACTTATTAGAGATACAAACCGATAAGAAGTAGAAGAAACGAATGAAACTGGATGTAGCTCAGACACAATGGTAGAGTTGCTTTTCAAACACAACTTGAAACAGGATTGCGTCTGAATGTGGCTAAAAATAATTTAAAATAGTGTCTAAATGCAGTCAGAACACAAAATGTGCATTCAAATACTATTGCCACCGGGCGTTTAGATGCGTCCATGCGCAACAAATATTTTATCTGGGTTGGTTATGAACGCATTTACAACATATTTAATGTTTATGTGTTAAAGTCTAAAGTTTTTTGCTGCTTCTTCATATACGAATTCTTACACTAAAGAGTCATATGTGACAGAAGAAATAAAATGCATAGAATCGTCTGCAAAATACGCAATTCTTTAAATTTACTTTCTTCAATTTCCACTATTTTTTTTTGAAAAGTAAATTCTATCAAATTTATCTTCACCTCGCTATGATTAAAAATTTCATTCAAAGTAAAAAAGAAAAAGAAAAATAATTACTTAATTTGAATTTAAAATTTAAATTAATTTTTTTTTACTTTAAAAAGACAAAAAAGTTAAGATACTGCATCCATTGAGCATTTATTAAATAAGCAATTAATTATCGAAAAAACCGTTTTTCTCGTATTCTGTGATCCAAAAACTATAATTATTTTTTTTATAAAGTTAATCATATGTAACCGATGTCACGTATGCAATTTTAATTGACACTGATAAATTAAAAAAATGAAAATATTTCAAAGTTTATATTATTTAATGAAGCAATTCCTATAAACTGATCTTTTCTCTATAAAAAGTCACATGATAATAACAGATAAGACTGTACGAGTATTTATAGCTTCGTGGTAAGTTCAATGTCTTTCATTCTGTAGGCATCATGATCGAATTTCGTTTGTTGCATTCTATTCAATAACTTAATAATGTGTTAAATTGAAATAAAAACATCACGTAACGATGAAAATGGATCGATACCATGATATAGAGCACAATTTTTTAAAATTTAACAAATTTTGGATATCCTAAAACGCGTTTTGACGCGTCTAACAATAAACAACGTCAGGATGCGTTTCTCTATTAGAACGCATTAGGACATCCAAAAATGTTGCATTTTAGGCGCATCCAAACATGGCACAAACTTAAACGCGTTTGTCTCTGTTTCAAACTGGTATCGCGTTAGAACGCCCGAAAATGTTGCATTTTGGATGCCTCCAGACGCGTGAAATTACATTGCTGACAAACGCTCGGGAACGAGTCAAAAACTACAAAATGGATACATGGGAACATCCATGGTTATTTCAAAGTCCATTAACGGATTATCATCCATCAACCACAAATCAAACTTCAAGTTTTTATCATGTTTCATATTATTTAACTTTGTCTACAATAAGTTACATCTTAATTGTTACAGGAAAATCAGTAATTATCAATCGTATATTGAGTAGAAGGATCTATCAATAACAAAGATAACACAATCTCATCTGTCATCCATTGATATTCAAGAGTTCATTTAAATATTCTTGGTTTATTTGAATGAATACATTATCGTTTGTCACTAACACCACTCTCGAAGAACGAGCCGACGTCATTAAATTTGTTCTTGCTCAAACAGAACCATTATTGATTCTTCTGATTCTTGAACATATCTGATTCAGATCCAGAGGTTTGAATATATTTGACAATAAGGATTTAACAGCTCGAAGGAGATGATATTCTCTCTTATATCGGGCTAATTACACTGATTCCCTTATTGTATTTATTCTTGCTGATTTCCGTAATACAAACATTCTTCTTATTTGCCGTCATTCTGACCTTTACCGCATGATTCTACTTTGCGGACATTTTTTTCTCCAACTAATGAAAACATTCACAATCAAAAAGACATCTTACACTATATCTCTATATTTGTTTTTCTGCCATGATTTTCTTTGTGATAATTAGAGCATAGATAAAAGATGAAACAGAACTAGCATTTCTTTTTTTTTATTGAGTCTAATTTTCTTTGCGATAGCTCAAGCGTAAAATACGCAGTAAATCATAAGCAGTGTTTCCCATATTTCATCTAATCTATTATTCGAAAACTTAAAAAAGAAATATACAGTGCGTGTCAGAAGTCTGGCTCCACTTTTTTATTTTGAGTCGTGTATCAAAACTATCTAATATAATTAAAAATTTGTTTTTATTCCTGGATAGTAGAGGTCGAGTACTATCTGTATACATCTGTTTAATATGAAAAATCATTGAGTATAAAATACAGTGAAAACAAACAAACTTCAATGTTCAGAAAAAAAATGACATGAAAAACTACAAAATTATATTGTTGTTTTAAATTTCAGTGGTTTCAATAAGG